GTCACTCTTATAGCTCATTCAAGACTCCAAAGTGCGGAGTGTGATTTTGTGGCGAACCATGAACAATCGGATTCACAGTCCGAGCGCACTAAGCACTTGGCCACAGCTGTGGTAGATATGAAGGTGGTGTTTTTATTCGTGTCTACTAAAGTTTTACACACAATACAGGATATAATGCGGCTCTTTCTGATCACGTGCGATTCTAATAGTGACATGTATAGTTGTAGGTTTGAGACTATGAACAATGAGGCAAAATATTCTGGTTGGGGACTAGTGCGGAAAAGACAAAACCAAAAAATAAAATTCATGAACCAGAAATATGATCGCAACCAACTAGTCTTTGTCCTTTTCTATTACATTTTAGCAAGGCTCAAGCCCTTAGTATATAAATCATCCACGTCAGTCAGTCTTTGATCACCAAGATAGAAATCTTGAGTTTACATTAAGTTTCTGGGAACTAGTTGTTGGGTTGCATTCATAGATAGAAACAAGAGAATTCTGACTTACCTCCTGGCTTGTGTAACACACCTGACTTTTTTCATTCTAGGAAAATGGCGCCATGATGGACCATACCGATGATGCAGACGTGGCAATTAACTTATCAACCAGTCAGACAACCAGATCGTCTTTGGCCACACCTTCATTGAACACAGAAAGTGTAGACAATGAGCTTCAGGTAATATGTGTGTTGTGGTGAAATCCACGCTGCTTCGTGAAACCGCTTGTCCTTGATCACATCACCTTATACAAAAATTGTTTTTATTCAATATGAATTATAATAACATACAAATGTTTAAGTAATTTCATAAGATATTTACTTTTATTGTATTTCTGCTATTACAAAAGATGCTCAACTATCTTGAAAGTAAGGAAATGCTCTGCTTGTGAAATTGTATAATTCTCATTCGTGTATACTATTAATCCTTTACTACATGCAGTTTGTTACACTAAGCCTGTGACACACTCACCCACCCATTCACATCCTACCTGAAATTTAAATATTTGAAACAAAACGGTATTTACTATTTTAGTCAATTGAATGCAACTAGCTTTCTTGACTGTATGTCTACATGGAAACATTGAATATAACTATTTGCTTATTTAATGTAAACTGAAAATAATTGAATGTGAAACTAAGCGTTCTGTGAACGATGATGCTCTCATTGCCCAAAAACTGCTTTTAGTAACATCATCTGTGACACAAGTTTCTAACGTAAAACCAGGATTACTGTGTTGAATGCTCTTGTTTCGTAATAGCGCAGAATGTACTCTCTCGTATCGTATTATAAACAATATTCATTTAATTCCGTATAACTTATAGATCTCCGCCTTAGTACCAAAGCTAACAACTCCTTGGTTTTCACTTTTGTAAGAATCTCAATTAAATACTGAATCAATATTTTACATTATTTATTAATAGAGCGAGTATCCGCATAAATGACGAGCCAGATATAACAGAGCGACGTTTAGTAGTTTTCTGTGTCAGTTGAATGGTAAAGATAACTCTATAGAGAGTTTATGGCTGGAATCTCCACCACTAATCTTGCAACTTACGCCTTACCTTCGCATACAGCATTTGCGTTTTCTCTGTACGTTTGATATTTTAAACGTGCGACTGTTCTTGCCTGGGAATATATTCTTGAAAGTATCAGGTCAGTTATAATTTACTAAGTTTCCTGAATTGCGTGTTTTAACGTGACAAGTAATCGAAAACGTGTAACATTTTTCTTTTCTTTTTTTGTAGAATATGTTAATAATAATAATAGGTTTATTTTTGCAAAGTTCGTAATAAAAGGAAAGGTTGAGGTCAACTCTCTCTCTATATATGTATATATATATACACACACACACACACACATCTATTCTTAGACCTTTCAAGTTCCATATCTTCAAGTTGAATTTCGTGAAACTAATTTCTGATTTCTAAGAAAAATTAATTATCATTTCAAATTATTCTCAAACAGTATACTAGTATTTATGAATCGTTATTAATAGGTTTCAAAATATCAGTGTTTATAAGTATTCAACATACAAACCTTACCATTTACAGAAGATAATTTTAGGAAATATGTCTCACCACTTTTAATACAGTAATATAATGTTAAAGTAACATTAAATTGAATTTATAAACCTTTAATCCATTTAATATAGCTTCCAGTCATGAAAACTTGTACATCATTTCATGAGCCTGTAACTGAGTCAAACACGGAAAAATGGCTACAAGGTCGAACCTAAGTTTCAAATGGACAGCAACTGCCTGTTGTAGAAACCTACAAATGTA